AATTTCTGTGTTTTTTTTTTTTTTTTTTTTTTTACTGTTTTCCTGCTCCAGGCAGCCAAACTGGCCAATTATGCAAAGTATCAGAACTTGTGTGACTTCCTCTTCATTGTGTTTGGGGCAGTTTTCATGATCACACGGCTGGTTATATTTCCTATATGGTGAGTATTAAGATCTATAGTATACAACGTTATTGCTGCTTTGCTATTTAAATTATGGGTCTTTTTTTTACAAGAACTTAATAATAAAAAACCATGCACCAGCTCTGTTGATGAGCTAATTTATCAGAGTTCCTGCTCAGTCTTGAAAAGTATGAAATTGGGATTTTAGTATTATCTAGGTCTGGATTTGGATGGGGAAATGGAGACTATTAAAAAAATTGTGTTTTCAGATTATTGCATTTTCTAAGAACAAATAAAAGTTTGTTTTAGAAACAACTAGGGTTGCAACCTTCCAAAAACAAATAAGAAATATAGACTATGCATAGTTGTTGGGTACATTATTTATAATAAATTGAGTTTTTTTTATATATAGCACCAATTTATAACAAAAGTAACCTCAGGACGCTGTGCAGAACATTCATATGCATTACAAAATACCAGTGAGTAAAATTTATCTCTAAGGAAGCCAAGAGATTGTGTCTTCACAAGAAAAGTGTAATGCTTTTAATCATTTAAAGGGGAAATATTATGTGTTACATGTATTTAAATTCTATACCATAATAAAGTAACTATGTCACCTTTATTATGGTATAGAATTGAAATACATGTCTGAGAAACACATAACATTTCCCCTTTAAATGATTAAAAGCATTACACTTTTCTAGTAACTGTCACCTTTAGTTGTTATTAAAATGCTGTTTATATGTGTGCTGGAACTAATACTTTTAGGTTTAAGCCAGTAATTCATGACATACTTCAATGACCTAAGTTTTCATGACATGCTGTTGATCAGTAGATAGAATGATTAAAGTCAGAACAAGACTTGCTAACAACAATCATTCTTAAATATCACTTGTGTTTATCTTTGTGTTTTCCCTTTACCCAGCATTTCCTTAGCATGAAATCTTAAGATGACATAAATTGTGCACTGTGATACGGAAACTCTGTGTAGTTTGGCATCTGAAAATATGTTTCCTCAAAGGTATTCTGAATCTGAAAGGGGTTGCGCTGGGAAGTATTATTGGAGCTCAGCAGACAATTTCAGTTTCACCAGTTGTTTGCTTTGTTGCTGCCGAGAGCCTGTAGGAGTCACYGGRGGGGGTGGGGGGTCCAGAGGCGGAGCTGGTCCCAAAAGGCGGTTCTAGTCCCAACTGGTCGTTTTTGCTCCCCTGCCTGGCTGCCTCAGGACARRACAGGATTTKTCAAACATGCATGAATGAGTTAAAGCAAGACTCTGGGCATGTTTTTGATGAGAGGATAACATTATAGCATGATAAAAAARTCAAAAAAGTTGATTTTACATGATATAGCCCCTTTAAGCCAGTATTTCACTGAACTGCAGCTGTTTGAGACTAGTTGGTGACTCAGAGTTACTATCTACATACTATGATTGTCAGTCCAATAAACCACTTCCCAGGACACATACTACGTTGTCTGACTGACTGATTAATCATTATGTCACCTCTCGGTCTGACCTCGGAGGTCTGCGTTGACCTCTAGGCACAGGAGACCAATGAGATGAGAACTATTCTTTGACAGAGATCTGAACGTTGCAGCTCTGCCTCCAGAGAGACAGACAGACAATAGAGAAGCTATCGCTGGTAAAAGTAACCTGAGCAGCTATATTCAGTGTCTTGGTGTGGATGAATGAAAAAGCTAGAGTTGCTGGTGAAGCTACGTGGACTGAAATCCATACCTGCGCAGGGGAAGATGGCTCTGTTGACAACCTTTTGTCACTCGGCTGGATTTAAAGAAATAAAGGATGTGTGGTTTCTGTTGGCTCCTTACTGGACATATAATCTGTGTTACTAGAGTGCACCTCATCAAGATAGTGTCKGTCAGCAGTGTCCTGTACAGTTTGGTCAATTCTTTCTTTATCCCTTGCTTCCATGTGTGTATACTTTCACACACTTTTTGTTTTGTTTTTACAGGGTTTTGAACTCCACCATGTTTGAGAGCTGGGCCATAGTTGGGCCGTTTCCATCCTGGTGGGTCTTCAACATCTTGCTGCTTGTTCTCCAAGTGCTACATATCTTCTGGTCTTACCTCATATTCCGAATAGCTTTAAAAGCCATAAAGCGAGGGAAGGTGAGATAAAAAAAAATCACTGTTTTATCTCCTTAACGTTATCGTCTTCTCAGTTTCTTTATTTTAGCCCTAATCGTCAATGTACACAGTCTTTTTTACAAGAACATTTCTTTCTCAAACGTTCAGGGGCTTCTGTTTATCTGAAATAAAACATGTCCGAAGCGACAACACACCTCCCAGAGTTGGCCTCCTGGCAAACTTGAGCAAAGAGTTTTGGTCTTGTGACGGGTTTTCTGAAATAAGGGCAAAGTCATTTAAACAAGTCAACTGTCTTTTGTGACGSTTTATTAAAAAGAAATAACAAATAAATGGTCACAAGTTCAGTTGAGCTCGGGAACAACACAAAACATGAAGTGTATTTTGATTTGCGCATATACAGAGCAAATCAGTTAAGTTTTAAGAACACCAATTCTGGAAAACTTTAATGGATATTATGTAATTTTCAGACAGTTTACACACGGTTTCAGTCATTTCCTTCAGGGACGAATAAAGTCTTCATTTGTTCATGCTGATATGGCAAAAACAGTAAGTGAGACAGGAAAAACTCGCTTGGTGTTTTTTTAATCAATTTATTAACAAAATGTGGAGCAGAACTTACCTGCTTTCAGATAAAAGAAAGCTTTTCTACAAACGTGTCGCTGTGGTTCCAGCGTTTGATCAGAGCTGCAGAGCTTTGTGGACATGTTGCTGTTCTTCTTTTGCCCCCACCCTCCGTGGAACATCTGCCTCCATCTCATCCCTGCTTCCCCTCCCTGTCACACCAACCATCATGCCTTCACTGCCTCCACGAGTTTCCTGTCAGATTCATGCAATGTTGTTCCTAAAAAGCATCTATTTCTTTTTTTTTTTTCTCCACTAGATGCTTTTGTTTTATTTTACATGTCTCTCGGGAGCAGGGCTACACCTAATGAAGGTTGAGATCTTGCAGGTCGGGGCCTTTTTTGCATAAATTATACAAACCTACAATCGTCTTCTCGCATCTGTTAGTTTCACTTCACTTTGTTTAACACAACCTGTGCTGTGTTTCACTTTGTTCAGAGCCCAGTATACAGTCACTCATTTAACACCACCACCAGCTGTTGACCAATAAGGGATTTTTCAGCGGCAGATAAATGCTGACTATTAGAAATCAGAGTAGAACTCTTTAAAAAAATGTTTTAATAGGGTTCCCATGGGTCCTTGAAATCCTTGAAAGTTTGTGAATTTGAAAAAAATTCGGTGCCCTGGAAAGTTTGTGAAAAAAGCCAAAAATTACACTCGTCCTTGAAAGTCCTTGAATGTTTTTTGGGGGATTGAAGTTCTCTATTCACGACTGATTTTCATCACCTTAAAAATAATAAATTATAAAATTAAATAAAAAAAACTTACATTTGTTGCGGTGGATAAGTCAGGATTACGGTAAACTGACGTCATTGTTTCTGACTCAACAACTTCTATGTTGTTCAGTTTGTCATTGAATAACATGATATTAAGCCTGTTTATTGGTAACAATCAGCGGTAGCTGTAGGTAATTGCCATTGCGCATGGTTCTTGAATTTGATGAAAATGGTACTGGGAAGTCCTTGAAAGGTCCTTGAATTTGATGTTGACCAAGCATTACAATGAAACGCTACAATGACACGTAACCTGAGTGTAAATTCCTCTCACAGTTCAGAAGTAATGATCGGTATTTGGTCCCAGAATACAGAACTTTTCTGAACAGCTGTGCTCGCGGCTGTGATAGAGACGTACAGATAAATGGTAGTCCCAGCCAGGCCTCTGTGACTGGTTACAAAATGTTGATTGCTATTTTTAG